GACTTATTGGGGAAAATAGTTGAGCGGTTTCCCGTTGCTTTCTCTATTATTTTGAATTCAGAGTTTTTAATGCTACGTCAGGACATGGGCGATCATGACTCTCCACAGATTCCTTTTCTTTATTATCTTTGAATTGTCATGACTTATTCAGAAAGATAGTGGAGTAGTTTCTTGTTGCATTTTCCATGGTTTGGAATTCAAAGTTTCCCTTCAGTAGATTGCCAATCAAGGTTAGCAGATTTAATCTACGCTGTTATTTAACCCATATTTGGAGACAGAAGATAATGACTGATACCTTTCCCAAGGCCATTAGTGCGTAAGTAAACGCATTAGACAAGCTCTGAATTTTGAGCTCGGTTCGCCAATTCTAATTTCCACGCCGATATCCGTCACACTAAACACACATCCTTTAGCTTTTACCTTTCCCAAGGCCAATAGTGCGTAAGTAAACGCATTAGACTAGCTCTGAATTTTGAGCTCGGTTCGCCAATTCTAATTTCCACGCCGATATCCGTCACACTAAACACACATCCTTTAGCTTTTACCTTTCCCAAGGCCATTAGTGCGTAAGTAAACGCATTAGACTAGCTCTGAATTTTGAGCTCGGTTCGCCAATTCTAATTTCCACGCCGATATCCGTCACACTAAACACACATCCTTTAGCTTTTACCTTTCCCAAGGCCATTAGTGCGTAAGTAAACGGCTTAGACTCGCTCTAAATTTTGAGCTCGGTCCGCCAATTCTAATTTCCACGCACTAACCACACATCATTTAGCTTTTACCTTTCCCTATACACTTTTTTAAATTAATCACTACTAAATACCAACAACCAACAATAAAAACTCTGCCAGATGGCGCTGTACTGTCTTCAGGAGATACGACTTTTTGCCAGGCTTGGCCACGTTCAAATAATCACCTAGATATATACACGTAATGCTCAAGCACACCCCTGGCAATGTATAGGCAAGTGCTCTTACGTAAATACATTGTTGCACGCACCCTATACATTTATTTATATTTACGTATAAGCGTTTGTACACGTCACACGCACGTCGATATACGTCGGACAATTATTGTTATTCTGATCAATAAAAATTCACATCGTGTCTTCGTGTGACGCCAGGTTGTTCAGTCGATCGATCAAAGAAATTCAACAGTGAAGCAACAAATCATGGTTAATCGATAAATGTGAGTGAGTGTGATCAGAGATAGGGAAACAAACGCTGGCTTTCTTGTACACCAAGATAGGTAAGTAGGTAAGTAGGTAGGTAAGTAGGTATGCAAATAGATAAAGGACTTTATGTATGGATATGCTACAGATAGTGTGTGCATATGTATATCTCGAACAATAGGCGCGTATGTAAGTAGGTGTACACTTATAGCAGTGTGCAAAATAAAGAATAATTGAAAGAGAACAAAGCAAGAAATAAATGTATCTACATGTATATAAGTATTTTATGTATGCATATATGTATCTACAGGATAGAATATATGTACGTAAATGTTAAGAAAGAAAGAAAGAAAGAAAGAAAGATGTATCAATAGAAAACTATTGAGAAAAAAGAAAGCCAGGCATATGAGTATACACTAAATTATATATATTTAACACGATTATAATCATGTGTGTAAACCAAAAGAATGACAAAAAGAAAAAGGGGGGGAAGCAAAGAAGAAGGTAAATGAACGAAAAAAAAAAAGAAGCGAAAAAGGAAAACAAAAGGAAACAACAAATAATGAAAAAGGTGAAAAGAAAAACAAAGAGAAAAAATAATGAAGTAAAAAGTAACAAAAAAGACAGAAAGCACTGAAGGAGGAAAGAAAGAAAGAAAAAGAAAAAGAAAAAAGAAAGAAAAACAAAAATAAAAACAAAAGAAAGAAAATCAAAGACAGAAGAAAGAGAAAAATAGAACGAAAAACAAAGACAAAGAAAAAAAGCAGAAAGAAAAACAAAAAAGAAAAAATAAGAAAACGGAGGAAAAAGGAAAAAAAATAAAAAAATAACAAAAAATAAAAAAGAGAATAAAAAAAGAACCAAAAAAAAAGAAAAGGAAAAATAAGGAAAAACGATAAACAAAGAAAAAAATAGAAAGTAAAATTAAACAAAAAAGAAAAAAAAAAAACAAGTTAAAAAGAAAGAAAAACCAAAAAAGAACCAAAGCAAGAAAGAAGAAAAGTAAAACTACAAAAAGAATGAACGGGATAAGGTTCACCCACCCAAATAGTAATAAAAATGCTAGCATAAAGGAAAAATAAATTGATATAAGTATTAATATAGATACAAGAAAGAAAGAAATATAAAAAAATAACGAAAGAATGTAATGAATGGATGTATTTATTAATGCAAATCATCATAATCATGCGCTGATGAAAGAAAGAAAGAAAGAAAGAAAGAAAGAAAGAAAGAAAGAAAGAAAGAAAAGGGAGAATGTCAAAAAGACAGAGAAAAAGAATACATTGGAAATGACCAAAAAGAAAGAAAAAAAAAAGATCACTAAATAAAATAGAAAAGAAAAAAATGTGGGTTAGAAAAAAAAAAAAAAAAAAAAAACATGAACGATTCTGGGACAGGGAGAAAAGGAAAAAAATGGTATGAGAAAATGAAGCTCTCAGGTGTCAGACGGATCATAACGGTCCTGATATTGTCAAAACATTACAAATCTGGCTGCAAAAAGTAAAGAAAACAGATATAAGGCTGGTCATCTAATAAAAACCAGAAGCCGGGAAAAAAAAAAACTATAAACATTAAAAGATAAATAGAACTAATTGAACAGAGGCTGTAGATTAACAAGAACGAGATAAAACGAGAGCAGATAGAAATACTGGAGGCAATAAAGAAGGGCGCCTGTCGTAGAGCAATGGAAAGCAAATCTGTTTCGCCCTGGCACTGTGAGAGAAATTCGTTTGATGACAATGTGTTAGACTATACAAAGCTTAGGAAATATCTGCACTAATTAAATTATATAGTTTAATTTCTTCTTTATTGTTACTTGAAAGACACGTAAAAATTTTACGGTTCTCCTATTTTTCATTTAATGATTGAATAAGCTCATGGCGAGTTCTATGATAATAAAATAACCGTAAAAATTCCCCGATCACATCGTTAAATATTTGAGCTTAACAACTTTAACAAAATATTGCAATAACAATCATAAATATGAATGCTGATCATTATTTTAAGAAGTGGGTACAAATGAAAGAAATTGAATTTGACAAATTTTCCATTTCCCTTAAACAGCAGAAATACTTCCTGAAAGTAGGGTATGTTTTTTTTTCTTTCCTACGCAATCAAAATAGAATAGTCCATTATTTATGAGGTATTGGCAGGAAACGTTAAACACTTATATCTTCTATTCTTTCTTTCTTTCTTTCTAGTCAAATCCCCATCTTACGAATATTTCTCTTAATAATAATTTTAAAATAATACAGTAGACGATGCTATTTTATTATGGTAACTGAATCTTTGGCGATTGTCTTAATCGGTTTCTGTCGTTTTATACTGTGCGTCTGGAAAATGCCGGTTTTATCGCGGCCGCCATCATTTTCTCGCCCTTTCAGATAAGAACACATACTACACTTTGATCTTATCGATCAAAGTGTAGTATGTGTTCTTATCTGATTCTCTCTCGTCACTTCTATCTTTTCTTCTCCCTTTCTTGCTTTCTTTCTTTCTTTCTTTCATTCATTCAGTCCCGATGCTTCTCCGAGTGACTATGGCATATTCCGCTCAGTGGCGCACTTCCTCCACGACCAGTGGTTCAATACTTTTGATGAAGTGAAGGAAGCTTTTTTACGGGTTTTTGATTATATATATATATATATATATATATATATATATATATATATTTTATGCTATCTGGATCAGATTCCGATACTGGTTCATCGCTGGCAGAAAATGGTCAAGAATGATAGATTTCAGTTTGAAGAATAAATGTTGGTATTTCTCCATATAATTTTATTGTTTTCTTTCCGCTTCATAAGTGAGTCAGGATTTTCTGGCCAACCTAATATAATACCCATTCGCAGATCGAACTAACTAATATTGTTAACCTAACACTAAATAAGCAATTAATATGTCATTATTCAATCGTTTTAAATCATGTTTTATCTTACTGTACGGTGAATACAAATAAAAACAGAGATTAAAATGTTTAAAACTATATAATTCAAAAATTTGATATTGATATTCATTGATACAAATAAAGTCCAATATATACATAATTTACAATGACTGAAAGGTTAATTTAAAATTTAGATCATTGTTAAAATATAAAACTAAAAGGTTGTAATTTCCATTTATCAAACGTTTATTAAAAATGGGAGGAGGTACGATGGAGTAGTGAATAGCAGCTCGGATTGAGGAATCAGAGAGCCGAGTTCGAATTCCAGTCGAATCCATTGCATTTATTTACGTGTTAATACCCTTGGGAAAGGTATGAAGCCTCTTCTTCTCCCCCGCCACCACAAGTTCTATAAATGTGCTCCGTCAGTCATGTATCGAAAGATACATGGTCGCCTAAGCGTCTATCACGGATGACACATAACTGACTGACTTATAAAAATGGCGACTGTGAATCGTAAATGTTTGATTGATTTTACGGCTTATCAACCTTTTTCATGTTATTTAAAACCAGGAAATATTTTTAGATTTTAATAAGTTTTGGGAAATAATAGTGATTTTTCGGATACACGTCGATAGCTGCGTGTAAGAAGCGGGAGATTCATAGCTTCCTCAAGAGTGTTTGCGTGTAAATGAATATAATGAAGCCGAGTGAAATTAGAGTTCGGTTCCCGATTTCCAATTCCGAGTCATTATTCCTTACAACAGCAGCAGAGATTTATCTATTGTTTCCTGTTTAGGATGAGGTTTCCGGCTCCTTGTAAAGTCTATTTCAGCGCTATACTCCTAACCCTTGTCCTTTCCTACGCTAATATATCTCCACACTAACTTGAGTGGCTCTTGGGCTTTGTATTGGTTGAACATTAGTAAAAAATAAATACAGCTTACAGCACCTGATATTCCCAAGCAGTCACCCTTCTAGGGACTAATCAATCTTGACGTTGCTTAACTTCGGTGATCGTACGAGAAGTGGTGTCTCATGCTTGTATATATGTGTGTGTACGTGTGTGAGCACCTGTTTTGTGTGTGTGTGTGTGTGTGTGTGTGTGTGTTACTTATTAAAGAATTAATGGATTTATTTTTATTATTATCAAACGTAAACTTCTCCCCAGTGAAGAAGAACTAACTACCTAGAAAATCAGCATTCAGATTTTGATTTGACCTTTTAGGCTATAATAAAACGGTAAACTCACTATTGTTTTAAAACTTAGCTTACAAAATCACAATTCGGCAAATTTAATATTAGTCCTCGAAATCCGAAGGCGCATTAAAATAGCAAAAAATCTGTTCCAAGAGCAAAAAAAGAACATTATTAAGAAACAGGAAAATTTCATTACAAAGAAAAAGTGTAATGTCCGTCTTTGTATATGGCAGCGAGTGTTGGGCAATTTCTTTACATATAAGGAGGAGACTTGTGACAACAGAGAAGTGGTCCGAAAAGAAAAAAAAAGAATGATGAAAATACAATAGACGCGAAGTATGTAAGCAACAATGAAGTTTTAAATGAAGTTTTAAATGAAGTAGAAACCAAAAAGACAATTTTGCACGAAATTGGAGACACTTAAATTTTCTAGAACACATAATGTCACTCACAGGACATATTGAAGGCAAGAGCTGCCTAAATACCTAACGACCTTATATAAATGGATGATAGAACAGAAACTGGGACGTATAGCAAGGGAACGAACATTACTTCGATCTACAAAGAATAAAAAGTTGTGGTGGACCGTTATCACACACGTCCTGAACACGGAACATAAAAATAGAAGTTTTCAAGACTAACTTGATATGTTCTATAGTATAGTGAGGTGTTTTGACAGCTTAACTTGGATATGTGGGTAGTGTAGCCGTGTTCGAATTCCGGTAGAGTTTGTTACGTTCGCTTTAACACAAACATCTTTAAGAAAAGTATGACCCGTGTGACACTATTTAGGTTGCTAGAAAGAAGGAAGAAAAAAAAGAAAGGCGAGAATTAAATTTAGGTGATAAGAAGCCATCACGAAAAGGACACTAAGCGATGTTATTCTTTTTAACAAAGAAAAATGCTAAAGGTTTTATTCTCATTAGCGAGGAAAGTAAGGTCACGGATGTGTCGGATATAATTTAATTTATGACGACGCACCGAATAAGATATATCCAATCTGCCCATGGCAATGGTAAAAATTTCAAGTTGGACAAGCGACCTCCCGCAGAGTGCTGGGAGATAAAAATTAATTAGGTCAAGCTTGACCGAAACCAAAATGTCCGTTAAACCACCTACATATCATTTGGGAAAAACACCTGTTTATTGTCAGGGCTGGCTATGATAGCAAAATTATTTTATCAGAACGAATAATTGGCACCAAGGTTCGATACGTCCAATTGACCACCCACTTGTTTGGCGAAGGTCCCGAGTGACGAATTCAATATGAAATTCGGTTGAGATAAGAGTCTAAGGACTTGTTGTCGGGCAGAAGAAAGGAAAGAAAGGAAGAAAAGAAAAAGGAAGATAATTTTTTTTCTTTGAGCAAGATTTTTTTAAACCGAGGCCAGTCTGGCCACACCCACACTGCTGGGCGCCCATTGGCTGAATGCTGGCGTGAGCGGCAGGCGAAGGTAATCATGAAGAAGGAGGGGAAGCCTGTTGACACCCCCCAAGGCATCGGTATGAGATGCCACTGTGAGAGAGAGGGGAAACCCGTTGACACCCTCTGAGGGTATGGTGAGATACCAATATGAGAACAGAAGAAGTTGGGAGGACGAAAGACTTCCTAAAATGGAAAATAATAAATTTTCCTGACCGAAAACAAAGAGGATTGTGGATTTAGAATTATCAAGGAACCTCAAACCCCGACAACGAGTGAAAGGTAGTTCCAGTTGAGTTGGCAGTTCGAGTTAAGTTCGCAGTTCGCAGCTGAGTTGAATTGAGTTGGGCCCGCCTCGCAGGAACCTGACTGAAAGATTCCACGCAAATCACGATTCCACTTCTAACCAAGAAGAATTTATTTTTGAAGAACGACTTAGACTCACGCCACCAAAGCAGGTTTTACGAATATCGCCTGAAGATACACCAAAAACAAGTTTTACGAATATCGCATGAAGATACACCAAGAACCAGTTTCTTAAAGAACAAACAACTTAAGATGTTAAGACTCGCCTAACAAACATAAAGTGTCACGAATCCATATAGCGGTTTGGGAGAAAGACGCAGTCCTGTATTTCGCAACCAGATATAAAATATTGTTATCCTTTTTAACACATTTGAACTTTTCGAGTTATTATTTTCTTTTCTTTTACATATACTTGTGCGGTATTGCCCTTGTTCGGACCCGACTTGCATTACGGCCCGGCGACTGATTGATTTCGTCTACCTAAGATCAAATCACAACGTGGGTAGGTTAGACTAGAAATCAAAGCAGTTACTTCGGTAACCAGACGTTGGAGGCGAGCTGGGAACGACAAGGCTGATACCGAATCTAACCAGATTCCCATCCGAATCAGTAAAAGGTTAGAACGTCACACCCCCATCTTTTCACACGCCCCAGCTAATAGCAAGGTTGACTTTTCAATTTTGATATTCAGGAGGCAACCAGAAGGAAAATTGAATTTAATACCACCCTGAAGAGGGATGGGCCCCGTCAGGTTATCTAGACACACCACTGCCGTTATGGTTCCAATGTATCTGGAACTCCTATAAGCCTAATGGGTTAAGGTAGTCATGATTTGATGAAGCTTAGCGTGGTACAATACCAGCTGATGGTGGAAGAATAGGTGCGCCAACCTTTGAAAATTAACATTCCTAACATTTCACTGGGGCTTTTCCGCCAGGACGCAGACCAGATTTTTTAATAAATTATTCCAATAAAGTCCCCTGTAACATTGAATGCCACCAAATTGGACAGCATGTTTGAATGGATGTCGAAACGGGGTCGGGGGAAGGATAACCAAAAGGTACAATAATAAGCGCTACAAGGGAAAGAACGTTGTGAAGAGTCATGTTCGCCCACGTCCTGGAGGGACACGGCACATAAAAAAAAAGAAATATAAGCAAACGGTTCTTACGTTTCGAGTGACAAAAATTGTAGCATATATGCGCTTACTGGACATCACAAAAATGTTCTGTTCGATCTATTATTTATTAAACATATTTTATTTTGGGTTTAAATTTACAAGTATCGCTTACCCTTTGAGAATCGAACCCACTACTTCTGATGCCATTACGCTGAAGCGGCTGAAATTACTGGTTATTCATGATCATTACTTCATATTTTTGTCTTTTTTTTCTCTGTTTATTTTTTATTTTACCTCTACGTCATAGTATTTATTTTCCTCTTTCTTATGACGGATGCTATGCTCGTCTTTTGCTCAGTTAAAAGCTTGTTTCAGTGCACAAAGGAATTGTCTTTATCATTCGTTCTTTAATTGACTTTATCTGTTTTATTTTCTGTTTTAAGTAAATGTTTGACATCAAAGGAACCGGTACAATTTTTTTTTTTTTTTTTGTGTATTTTACAGTTCTCTTCGAAATCACCTGTAACCCAAGTATCGAACTTTTATCTTTTTTCAATTCCAATACTTATATATTTACTCGGCTAGTACCTGTAAAAATGATGGTCGATAGTGCATATACATAACCTTCAGTAGTATCATTAGTAGTAGAAACAGTACTAGCAGCAGTTGCCTATATCCATCGAAACATACAAATACAGTAGAGCCAACCTTGTAACTGCATGTTTTTCCCAATAGTAACAATGACTTTTATATGAAAGAAATACAAAAATATCAAACGATCATTTTGAAACTGCTGAAAATCCGTTTGTTTTTTCTTCAACATTCACACGACATCTTTTTTACAACTTGATCACCTCCAGAACAGTTGAACCTTCGAAAAAGCTATATTTATTACAACGTTTCGGCCGTTGCATGCTCCGGCGATGTAATAAATATGGCGACAAAGATGAGGACAATAGCCCGAATAATGTAAATAATGTACATAATGCCTCATCTCAGAAATATAGACAGATACTTCGAAAAAACATTTGTGAAAAGAAAGACTTATTGCGCCTTATCGGGTTAACATTCTCGGCTGACATGAAGTGGAAAGACTATATTGAAGTCCCGCTATTGACGAGATTTGACAGATTTTCACTCTCAAGTTTACGTTCAACCCCAACCTTTTTGGATAACGCGAACAAAGAACTGATTTTTTGTCCCCCCCCCCCGCAAAGCGTTCGTTAAGTTAATTTGATTTAATTTTATCTTATGTGTTTATTAATTGTTTGCATGAATTCGATTTTTGGATTTTTTTTCTTTGTATTCTTTTTTTCTCAGTCTTTACATCGGTTTTGGTCGCCATCTTTGTTTTTGTTTTTTTTCTGGTCTGTCAAAGCCATACTAGATTATTGTTTTTTGTTTTAATTCATTTATGTTTAATTTATAGTTTTATGTTTATTTATTATCGTCTATATTTGGAAAAAAATCTTACGGAATTTTATTGAATAAAAATACTTATTTTTATTAATTTGTTTTGAAGTTTTGAACAGTTAATTTTCTTTTCAATCGGTAAATCTTTTTAGTTTTCCTTCTTTTCGGTTTCAACCGAGATTTATTTTATTTCGCTAGGTTAACACTTAATTTTCCCAGACTTTTGTTTTTGTTTATTTTATTTTTCTTGAAGTTTATTGCTTTTTTTTTTTTTTTTTAGTTTAAACACTTTTCTCGTCTTTTGAGCGAACTTTATTTTTGTTTGTTCGCTGAACTTTATTTTCGGCGAACGTTAACTATTTGTTTTTCGTCGAACTTTATTTTTTCTTTCGGCGAACATTATTCTCTTTTTCATTGTTGGGCGAAGTTTTATTTTAAATTTTTGATTTATTTATTTCTGATTTATTAGTGAATTAGCAAGTTTATTTTCTTTTTTCTTTTCGTTTTAACTCAAACTGTTTTTTGTTTTTTTTTCATATTGTAGTATACACTTTTATTTTTATTGCTAATTTTTCTTTTTC